TAAATCATGCATAATACAGGTAGCTAGGAAAAGAAGCATTGACAAAGGAGCTCATTCATTCAAAACAGCAGCGGCATTCACCAAAAGAACAAATGCCAACGAATGAATCTCATTCTATAACGAATTCGGTCACTCTGTCATTAGTTGATTTTTTATTTTTTTTTAAATGAATAAAAAACAAAATGTTGTTCATTTTTTGATTCATCCAAAAATGAATGCACATGTCTACTTAGTTAAAAAAAAAATATATTTGATCACCCATATAAGGATTCCTTTAAATTTAAATAAAAGCACACATAGGGCAATATTGTTATTATTTTGTTACCCAAATGGTGTCAGGAGTGTTAAACAGTATATCTTTTGATGGTAACACTTATGATCTACCGGGTAAATTTTCTGCTTTATTAATAACCATAGGTATTTCTACATCCATTAATATTCAGTGTTATTTTATCTTCACTAGTCTAACAGACTGTTGTATGTCTATTTTTGCACTAAGAAAAAGTATTTTTGATAAATAAGGAGTGCCGTGGTGTTTGTGTGTTTCACATTGTTATCCGCAAGCCCATTAAAAGATACAAACACACATTTAAAGTTTGTGAGAATGTGCAGGAGAGTGTCACAGAGCTCTACAGAAATAGCATTTGGAATGAGCTGGGAAGTGCAAGAGTGTCTCTGTGTTTCACAGTCATAAAACAATAATGCATTATATCAGTTATGCAGTGTCATGCAGTGTGCTTCAGTTACTAATAAAAGCAAAGTACTGTGCTATGTGTATCAATAAAACTAAAAGACCATTGATATGTGTTTAATGATGGAAATTAATCTGCAGCACTGTTTGCGTTATTTTAACGCTCTACAGTAGGACTGGGCAAATTATAGATCCTCAGTTGTTTTGTAACTTGTTTGTCATTTAACCACATTTTACTATTTGAATAGGTCCATATTGTCTTGAATATGCACCTATCTGCATAAATTGCTATCAGTGGGTATTAAAAAAACTTGAAAGAACGCATTCAGTATCAAAGCCTCTGAGATGGAGAATAGCATATGTCCTTCTTTAGCCATTTAAAATATTTAAAAGTATATTTCTTGTAGAACCATTGTACATATGTCTACAGATGTTTAATATGCAAAACATTTCATACTGGTTCGGCATTAAACCCCTCAGACGTTAACATTTTGAATTTATGCTAACAAAATCCTGCATTTGTTGACCTTTTGCACCAGGTCCCTTGAGATCTATGATTATCTTTGTCATTGCTTCGATAGGTAAATGGCTTGTAGCATATCACATCTTAGGCCACCTGGCTACATTTATCTGTAGATTAGTTATTCATTTTTACGACCTGATTTTTATTCATCAAAATCCTGAGGATTTCTTTGCCATCACAGAATGCAATGTAAAATTATTAATGAACTCAGCTACATTTTTATACTTAAGCCCTGGCCAGATTTTGATGGACATTACCCTTGTCTATAATTTTTATTAAGACAGAAAAAAAAAATCATCATTCCTGCCTTTTTAATACCTTATTACAAAATAATTTTGATGGTACGTTGGTGCCTATATGAGATCCATCTGCTCACTTACTGACTCATTTTAGTTATAGCAATTTTCTAAAGTGTCCATAGAACAGCAAATTGCAAATTGAGGGCCAGTTTAATTTCGGAAAGTCAAACCTCATCCTTGAGATGTGATTGCTTATTAATTTAACATTAAAGTTGTGAAAATGTAACTAAGATTCCAAAGCACATAAAACACTTTATTTTTGTGAGTGGATTTTGACATTTGATAGGTGTGACATCTTCTGAACTTATACAGGGGCTTTAACAAAACTGAGAATTGTGAGAATTGTTTATCTACCCTCACAAATAGTCAGGTTAGGAAACTGAGCATGAGGATTTTTCGAATTTATTCCTAAATTTAATATTGTTGGATAAATTTGTCAAATTATTTATATTTTTAGATTAACATTTCAAATGATATATATTAAATTTTAATATTTTGAAATAATTTTATAAGTTTATACAAGAATAATAAATCATTTGAAATCCGTACCCAATAATTTTAAATCTGGACCTTACTCTGTGGCCTAAAAGCTGCAGATCTTTTTCCAGTGTTTCATCAATCACATTTTAGTAAATAACTCTACAAAGATGTTTCCTAGAGCACTGATGTTGAGGGAATAAATTACATGTCTATTAAAGGAAATGTATTTTGTGATCAATTTCAATATGACCTGAAATATCTCAGTCCTTTGTTTTTTGTTTTTTTTACTATTTTGTCAATATTATCTAATCATTGATTAATAAATATGCATGCTTATTGGACTGGAGATAATGGGAAAAGCTACACTCAAAGCAGTGGAGGTCAAATTCTAAGAAATGGTCTGGGGGATAGGCTTTAATCCATTGAGAAGGATCATTCTGTCTCATTAATGATTTACAGAATTACAGTCCCAGACTATGATTGTAAATGATTTATCAAACTGGGATTTATATCATGGAATAAAACGTTTCAGGTTTTACACTATTAGAAACTGTAGTACGACTACTAAACATTGTTATATACAAACAAAAGGTTATAGTTTGATTGTTTATTTAAATGTTTGTTCTTAAACAGCCATCTATATCTTCTGTCTGTCTGTCTATATATCTATATATCTGATGTTGGTTCAGCCGAATGTCTGTTCTAAAATTGAATCAGGAGAACAAACCAAAAATGATTGGTAATTTCTTCTATGTAATCCTGTGACAAAAACTGGGCAACAAAAAATCTTTAGTAGCTAAAATTCTCCCTGAATAATATAGCCTAAACAAAAAACAAATAACCACACATTCAATTTAATACAAAGCCTTTACTAAAGTCTTCTGCTTTGCCCTAAATTCTACATGGCGGTTCTTGAATGTCCTCAATATACATTTCAATGAACACATCCACTAGATGCATTTTTCTTTTAATTTTCATTAAACTCCACACGCAAGTCTCAACATGTGGTGATTTCCTGATGTGACAAGGTATCCTTTTTATTTTCTATTGTATTTTAAATCAACTCCAGATGTATTTCCAAAGGAAATCTGCACTCATCTACTGTAGACTTACGTAAGTAATTGAATACCCATGTTAATTACATTTGGCTAAACACTTCATCACCACATCTCCTGCAGTGCTCAAATTATGGGGTGTGTGATGCATGCAAACAAATATTAATATTAAGGTAAGTAGGTTACATCTCCTGTGGTGACTTCATTCCCCTACTAGGGGCTTATCTTCTGGTCTCTCTAAATGTCTTATTTAAATCAAATTGATTTGATGTGAAATTTTAATGAACTAGCCATTACTTAGCTGAGTATTCTGTCTTTTTCTATATCATTACATTCACATCTTACATAGGAATAATTTTACTCTGGATGTGACAATGCAGTAGAGATAATTAATACTCAAATCTTGCATCTTCAAGCCAAATAAATAATCTAAACCACAGTTGACAATAAGACTGCTTGCTTCTGAATAGCATTACATACTTCCTCTCCATTTTATTGCTATTCTCTCTCTGTTTTGTCAGTCGAGCTGAAGATATAAATAAAAATGCAATATTACTGCTGAATTTAAATAAAATGCCTATTTTCTTTTTTTTTTTTTTGCTCTCCAAAATCCAATAATGGATTTCTACCTCTGCTTTCAGACGCAGAATATTGATAACATTTATCTAGAACCGAATAACAATTTTTGATCATTTTACTAAACTAGCTCATTATCTTCATTTCAGACGTATTCGTGCTATATCTTATCCATCTCGTAAGAACCTTTTAAGGAAATACAGACTGCCACATCTTGCTGGAAAATCATATTCTATGTTATAGTTTGTGGCCTCACAAACATCATTCCCTGCCAAGAATATTGATTCTCCTCGTAAAATGATATTATTTTCTCAAGTTAGTAGTTAGCATATTTATTTAAAGGGTCAATCAGTAAATTCACTAGTCCTCTTTGTTTTTATTCATTCTGCAGATAATGTTTTTGAGTAAAGTATATTTAAAATACTATTGAAAGTCTGTTAATTAGGATATAAACTGAGTATTTGAAATGCCTTCTCTGGACTCCTCAAAAACTGTAAAGTTGAAGAGATATCTCAACCTATTCCTGATTGCCAACTTAATCCTATGAGGATATTGCTGTTCAGCTGCCTATCATACAAAGAAAAATCTGTATTATAGTACAGTATGATTTAAAAGTAAATAGTGGACTTAGAGAAAGGGTGTCTATGCTACTCATTGGAGCTGGTGCTTGACCCACAAGCTGTGCAGATAGGAAATTTGGTACCTGTGTTCCAAAGCATCTGAGGAGTATAATGATCATGGGCAAGATTCCTGTGTAACAGCATTATTCACTAGTGTGAATTCAAATTAAATTTTTTTTATTTTATTTTTTTTTTTTAAGTGCACAGAAAACATTACAAGCAGGCATGAGGTGCCCCGAGAGCAATCCTCAGGCTTTTTCTCGCAAAACATGCGGGGCATTTGCTTACAAGGCACATTTTTTATATTATTGTTAGCTTATACAAATCAGTTCGTGTGAGTAGTGTTACACTTTAATTAGGCTAGGACAGTGTTTAAACTAGTCTGCGTGCATCACAGGTTATACATGTTATGTATAAAATTAATGAGATGTGTATTCAAACGGTTCTGCCTTATTTTACAATAGATATTCATCTCAAGCTAGGTATATGTTACGTAAGCTTAATCCAGAACAACAAATCTGCTCTGCAAACACATTTTACAAGGGTTAAATAAGCATATATAGCGGTGTGCATTAAATCAAGACATAAAAATGAGTTTTGCAAGGTGAGCTAAGATTGCCACTGGGTCATTCCTGTAGATGGGAGCATATAAAGTCCCGAGTGTTCAAGAGTATGGAACATATTCAGGTTGGACTGTGCATTAGGGGACCAGCGTTTGTTTGTGTAGCCCATGCCTGGTGCTGTCCGGCTGCTTGCTCAGATGGGTGCGTTGCACCTCACAGGAGAGTCCTGGATATAGGTGCAGTCATTGGTGTTGTTTCCCGGGCGTATAAGGTGGGCCCCCCTTGAATGATGATGTCCTCCCCAGGTACAGAGGTATTCCTTTTTAAACCAAATTATATGATGTAGGCTTCCCTTTGGTCCTTCGACGCTTCTCTGGGGCAGGTTTCCGTGGTGGTCAGATGGCATTTGATGGCTGCCTCTGCAGCAGGCGCCATCTTGCTGGCAGGTCGCACATGCGGCTGGCGTACGGCAGCCATCTTGGAGGATTGCCGCTTGAGAGTGTGCCGCAGTAGAATGGTAGCTTACATCCCAGCTTGGCATGACAGTAGTTGCTTGTGTAGACCGGGATGACCCCCCCGGTCCAGAGGGGGGGGGGCGCCAGACGCCGGCCGGAGACCCGGGAGAGCGGCCGTCTCTTCCCGGCTCAAGCTCCAGCATGCCTCGGGCCTTTGTCGGGTTACTGTAGGTGCCGGGCAGAGTCTGGAAGGGTATCGCCTCGTAGCCCATGTTCTGGGGAGCATTGTGGTCTGTGTTACGGGTGGTTGGGGAGTTTCAGCCTCCAGTTTGCGCCGATTTTCGGGCTCCAAGGCAGGAGCTCAGACTAAACACGTCTGATCCCGTCGGCGGTCCAGCCCCGCCCCCAAATTAAAATTTTAATCCACAGTTGTCAAATCAAAAAACACAGCATTCTTGAGGATTTTGTCCAATTCATCTATTTCGTCCTCAAATTTGATATTCACTTTGAATTTCAAACATAGAATGTGACGACAGATAAGAACCTTTTGGCCCATCAAGTCTGCCCAATTTTCTAAACACTTTCATTAGTCCCGGGCATTATATTATACCTAGGATAGCTTTATGCCTATCCCACTCATGCTTAAACTCACTGACCTCTACCACACATCCACTACCCTCTCAGTAAAGCAATACTTCCTGATATTATTTTAAAATTTTGCACCTCTAATATAAGACTGTCCTCTTGTTGTGGTGCTTTTTCATCTTTTAAATATATTCTTCTCCTTTACTGTGTTGATTCCCTTTATGTATTTAAATGTGTCTATCATATCCCCCATGTCTCGTCTGTCCTTTAAGCTATAGATGTTAAGATCCTTTAACGTTTCCTGGTAAGTTTTTTCCTGCAATCCATTAACCAGTTTAGTAGCCCTTCTCTGAACTCTTTTCAAAGTATCAATATCCTTCTGGAGATACGTTCTCCAGTACTGTGTACAATACCCCAAGTGAGGTCTCACCAGTGTTCTGTACAATGGCATGAGCACTTCCCTCTTTCTACTGCTAGTACCTCTCCCTATACAACCAAGCATTCTGCTAGCATTTCCTGCTGTTCTATTTCATTGTCTGCCTACCTTTAAGTCCTCAGAAATAATTACTCTTAAATCCCTTTCCTCAGATGTTGAGGTTAGTAGGGTATTAAATATCCTATACTCTGCCCTTAGGTTTTTACGTCCAAGATGCCTTATCTTGCACTTATCCACATTAAATGTCAGTTGCCACAACTCTGACCATTTTTCTAGTTTACCTAAATCATTTGCCATTTAGTAACATAAACCCTGTTACATATCTTAGTATCATCAGCAAAAAGACATAACTTACCATTTTGCTTTAAATTCTGAAGATTTGTACTTTACTGAATAACCTGACACAATGTGGCAACTTCAAATGTTCTTTGGGCTAAAGGTAAAAAAAAATACAATCAATTCACTTGTAATTCTCAACAAATCCCTGGTTCAGCAAAAAATGTTTTAAGAAATAATAATTAGTTGTGAGAAAAAGAAAAACGTCTTTAATACTGGAAACTCATTTGTATTCTGATTGCACTTTGGGCTGCCTTAAGAACAAGGCTAATAATGTTAAATAGTTTTTACATTTACACTAAATAATTTTAAAATAAGACACACCAGGGAAAGACAAAACAAAATAAATTGTGAAAATGTATGTATATCCATAAGGAGAATAATATTATTATGCAAAAACAAAACAAATCACATATCCCTATACGTATTAACTCTATGAATATGAAAACAAAATCAACTATTGTACTTCACTGATATTTTGAACATATTATTTGTGGTAGACAATCTAGCAGCTTTTGTATCCCTGAGTTCCATAGTTAGGTAAATCTATTAATACCAAAACCTTTGACATTGGTCCTAAAAGGGTTAACATACATAATTATGTGAGCTGAAGAACATTAGTCATCAGATAACTGTTTTCAAACTGCAATGCAGCCTTAATTAAAAAATAATTTTATCTCTATAGAACCTAATAGTAGCTCATTAAATCAAGCTAAATTTATCGATGGTACAAAACTGGGACTAAAATAGCAACAAGTATCAAAATTGGATATGCACCTGCTTGTTTAAATAATGCTGACAGACACAAACAATGATCTCTGTAGCAAATTTGCCCAACTAAAAACAATTAATTCTGCTCCATTTAATGATCATGTAGCATTTTTTTGTTTGAAGGAAAACTCTATGTGTTATAAATGTTATTTGGCAAGCAGTATCTGGCTAAAGACTGTGTTATGATGAAAAATGGATGATGCATTGTGATTGGCTAATTTCAACTTCAGCCAATCACTTTGCTGACAAAAGCCACCAGTCACAAAAGCACTATGTCTGTTGCATGAAAATGCTCCTCTACTTGAAAAACACTTAATAATATATACACTGCCTGGCCAAACAAAAAGTTGCACCTGGATTTAACTAAGAAAATAGGTAAGAGCCTCCTATTGGATAGTTACTGCATGGGCAATTATCTTTCAGCTGGCAGCAAGTTATTTAACTCAAACTGATGCAATGAGAAGCTTCTCATTTCATAAACAACCATGTCGAAAGACACATCCCATGGTCGTGGAAAAGATGTTAGTCTATTTGAGAAGGGTCAAATCATTGTCATGCATCAAACAGAGAAAACATCTAAGGAGATTGCAAAAACTACTAAAATTGGGTTAAGAACTGTCCAAAGCATTATTAAAAACTGGAAGGATAGTGGGGAACCATCATCTTCGAGGAAGAAATGTGGTTGGAAAAAAATCCTGATTGATCGTGATCACTTAAACGTTTGGTGAAATCAAATCATAGAAAAACAACGGTAGAACTCAGGGCTATATTTAATAGGGAAAGTAAGAGCATTTCCACATGCACAATGTGAAGGGAACTCAAAGGATTGAGAATGAACAGCTGTGTAGCCTTAAGAATACCACTAATAAATTAGGCTATTCAAGGCTTCAATTTGCTAGGGAGCATAAAGATTGGACTCTGGTGCAATGAAAGAAGGTCACGTGGTCTAATGAGTTTAGATTTACCCTGTTTCAGAGTGATGGGTGCATCAGGGTAAGAAGAGAGGCAGATGAAGTGATGCACTTATCATGCCTAGTGCCTATTGTACAAGCCTGTGGGGGAAGTGCTATGATCTGGGGTTGCTGCAGTTGGTCAGGTCTGGGTTCAGCAACATTATGTGCCCAAAGAATGAGGTCAGCTGACTAATTGAATATACTGAATGACCAGGTTATTCCATCAATGTATTTTTTCTTCCCTGATGGCATGGGCATTCTCCAAGATGACAATGCCGGGATTCATCGGGTTCAAATTTTGAAAGAGTGGTACAGGGAGTATGAGACGTAATTTTTACACATGGATTGGCCACCACAGAGTCCAGACCTTAAACCCATTGAGAATCTTTGGGATGTGCTGGAGAAGGCTTTGCGCAGTGGTCCGACTCTCCCATAATCAATACAAGAGCTTGGTGAAAAATTAGTGCAGCACTGGACGGGAATAAATCTTATGACATTGCAGAAGCTTATTGAAACTATGCGACGAATGCATGCCGTAATCAAAGCTAAAGGCGGTCCAACAAAATATTTGAGTGTGTGACTTTTTTTTTTTTATGGCAACTTTTTTTTTGACCAGGCAGTGTTTTTTTAAACTATGAATTTATTTTTGTCGGACATTTGTTTATTTAATGTAGTACATAATATGTCTGGGTTATGTTTTACAAAATGTTAGTTTTTTTATTTTGCTAAAGTTACTTTGGATATTAAAACAAGTGCTACAATTTAGTTTTACATTCTTGTACACTAATGAAGTTAGTGTGGTTGTCGGTTTTTCAAAATTCTTTATTTTTGCTTAAGTATAAAACAGTGGTATACAAGGCATCGCAGCACAACAGAAATTTTGTGGAGAAATATTAATATATTGTTCTAGCTAGCCTGATTTACAAGACATTTTTGTTTTTTAAAGCAAACTTTATTTTTAATATTTATCAGTTTAAAACAACTCCTTCCTCCTTTCTTTCAAAATTCAAAATTAATTGAATACTTGACATACTAGGTTTGTATTACTTAGTAATATGTTTTCTGGTTTTACAATTCATTGAATGTATGGGTGTCAATGAATAGAAAGTTTTTTGCAGGCTTTTTCTGGTTTTTTTCGTAGTCCACCCACCTTTACAACATGTGGAGCTCCGATATTGACACAAAATGCTTTTCAGTGGCTCTTGATTCCAGCTGGTAATATTTTAATCATCTAGTCTCATGATTCAGTCCCAATGGGTTTTCTGGGAATGGTTGAAAACACAAAGACTGATTTTTTTTGCTGTTACTCCACATTTCATTATTGGAATCCATTAAATGATTACAAGCAAAACTAATGAGTTTATCACTAAACAGTGAGTTATGGTGAGCTGGCAATATATTTACCAAATCCTCTACTTTGGAATCAATTTTGGGAACTATCTGTCACTTCACCACAATTATCTAATTTATTGAACAGACCCTAATGTTCCTTAATTTAGGCCATTAGGTGCATTATTTCAAATTGGTTTGTTAAATTGGGCAGTATTACAACATGCATGTTTTTTTTCACCAAAGTTTGAGGAATTCAAAGTGAATTCACAGTGAATCGAAAGCTCTAATTAGAGCTACCTAGTGCAAAATTTGAAATAGTTCCACGTAGTCTAAAATCTTATTAGATTATTAGATTTATGCAACAAAGGTGAAACATCAGGCTGTACATTAAGCAGCAAAATTACTAATAGACATGTTTTCTCAGACAGTTATGATCTCCACTTTCTAATTATTACAGTGCTTCTTTACATGTAACCAACATGCCATTATTTACTAAAATAGATGTCACTAACAACATTCTAGAACATCTTATCAACTGCAGCTCATAACCTCCAGCTGACATTAGTTTTATTGTATCTAAAAGAGAATAACAGAATATGCTAATAGTTATTTACCACTTCTATTCCATACTGTTCTGCTGGAAATCCTTGGGTACTTCATTTGGGCCACATTAATGTGGTTATTACTTTGACACGTACCACCTACCTAGAGATTGTTGTAAACCACGTACACCACTTCATGGTAATGGTGGTTACTGATGATTGTGGTCTCTTTCAGCAGGATAATCCACCCTGCTAACTACAAACATTGTTCAGGAATGGTTTGAGGAACATGACAAAAGATTCAAGTTGTTACCTTA